GCACCCTAATCCTCTGCCCCAGCCCTGAGCCCCCTCCTGCATCATGAACCCCTCAGCCTCAGCCCCAACCATCATCCCCCCGCACCCTAATCCTCTGCCCCAGCCCTGAGCCCCCTCCTGCATCATGAACCCCTCATCCTCAGCCCCAACCATCATCCCCCTGCACCCTAATCCTCTGCCCCAGCCCTGAGCCCCCTCCTGCATCATGAACCCCTCATCCTCAGACCCACAGCCCTCACCCCTGCATCCCCTCCTATCCCCAAACTCCCTCCCAAACCCCCTCCCCCTTCCCACACACCCCCTCCTGCCCTCAAACTTCCTCCCAAAGCCTGCACCCCCTCCCTTTGCAACACCTCCCACCCCCAAACTCCATCCCAGAGCCTGCACCCCTCACCCCCTCCTGCACACCCACCCCCTGCCTCAGCCCGGAGTCTGCACCCAGCACCCCTCCTGCACCCTAATCCCCAGCCCAGGACCTGCACCCCAGACCTCCTCCCCCAACCCAACCCCCCTCCCAGAGCCTTAGGCAGGTGGGGGGGGGGTTCTGGGCACCACCAAAATTTCTACAACCCTGCCACCCATGCGAGTGGATAAGGGTCGGGGCAGTCAGGGGACAAGAAGCAGGGGGGGTTGGGGTTCTGAGGGGGGCAGTCAGGGGGTGGGAAGTGGGAGGGAGTGGATGGGGGCGGGGCGGGGGCAGGGCTAGGGCGGGGCTTCCTCCCCCCAGTGTCCTCTTTTTTGATTGTAGAAATATGGTAACCCTAAAATACAGTAAAAGCATGCTTTCGCTGTGGATCCCCCACAACATCTTGCAAGCTACACAGGATGTCCAGCAAAAGTAGCTCAGTGCAATCATTGCAAAAAGATTGGGCATTTTGCTAAAGTATGTCGCAGTAGCCAGTTCAATCAACAGGTGCATGCAGTTACAATACCAGATGTTACTGTGCTGAGTGTGGACAAAACCACTAATGCACATATTCCAGAACAGATACAGTGCACTGTAAACGTTTCCGCCATACCCTCAGGCAAATCACACTCTATTAAGCTAATGTTGGACACTGGCTCAGCAGTATCTATACTACCTGATTCCATCTATTTGCATTACTTTAAAGATGTGCCTCTTAGTGAACCCAAACTTCAGTTGGTATGCTATTTGAAAAACCATATTCCAGTACATGGCTGCCTGCCCAACAAGAGTTACTTTTGGTGATTGCGGTGTAACTGCAGAGTTCTACATTGTCCACAAAGGCACTCCTATCCTTGGCAGAGATTTATTGGCTGCTTTAAATCTCAGGGTAGTTAATGGACGAATTGATCTTCCTCAGCAAAGCACTCTTGCGGTACACACACTAGTTTCAGCTGGGACCCAACACCAGGTTGAGGAGAAACTCGGCTGTGCTTACAGGTTTCTGCATAAAGTTAAAATGCGGAATAATGTGATGCCTGTATGACAGAAATTACAGTGCTTACCATTTTCAGTCAGGGAAGCTGTTTCAGAGGAACTTAGAAAACTTGTTCAAAATGACATTATTGAAGAGATTAACTCCTCGGAATGGGTTTCACCTATAGTGGTGATGCAGAAGAAGGGTGGAGGCATTCGCCTTTGTGTGGACTTAAGGGAGCCAAACAAAGCTATTGTGATTGACAGCCATCCTCTTCCTCACATAGAAGAAGTATTTGCAGAACTCCGTGGAGCAAAGATGTTTTCTACTCTTGATTTGCAGAGCGCATACCACCAGGTTATGTTGCATGAAGACAGCAGAGACCTCACAGCATTTATTACACATGAGGGACTATTTCGTTTTGAACGTGTTCCATATGGTCTCGCATCAGCCCCAAGTGCCTTCCAAAAAATGTCATTGATTCTGAAGAATCAACAAGGAGTTCAGTGCTATTTGGATAATATTATGGTGTTTGGAAATACTACTGAGGAGCATGACAATAACCTGCAGTCTGTACTAAACTGCATCAGCAAAGCAGGCCTCAAGCTCAATAGGTCCAAATGCAAATTTAGACAAACTGAACTCGCCTGCTTGATACAACAATAGTCTGCAATCAATCAGGAAGTAAGGGGGGGGGGATGGGAACAAGGAATGGGGGTGGGCGAATTGGAATCATGTTTCACTAAGGTGGGGGGAATGGGAACAGGGACACAGGCAAGGCTCTGTGGTGTCAGAGCTGGGAAGGGGGACACTGAGGAAGGAAACTGGAATCATGCTTGCTGGAAGTTCACCCCAATAAACATCGAATTGTTTGCGACTTCGGGTATTGCTGCTCTCTGTTCATGCGAGAAGGACCAGGGAGGTGACAGGGTGAAGGAATAAGCCCCCTAACAACTTACACCTGACCCTCCTCTGTCACACACATACCCACAGTCCCCCTCACACAGACACCCACAACCCATCCTCCTCTGTCACACACACATACATGCACACCCGACTCTCCTCTCTTGCGCGCGCACACACACACACACACACACACACACACACACACAGTCCCCTCACACAGACACACACACCCAACCCTCCTCTCTTACACACACATACATACAGTGCCCCTCTTTACACAGACCATCCTCTCTTGCACACATGTACACACAGTCCCCTTCCTCACACAGACACCCACACCCAATCCTCCGTTGTCACATACACATACAGACAGTCCCCCGTCTTCACACAGACACTCACGTCCTAACTTCCTCTGTCGCACACACAGTCCTTGTCACACAGACACCCAAACCCGACCCTTCCCTGTCACACACACATACACAGCTCCCCTCTTCACACAGACACCCACACCTGATCCTTCTCTCTCGCACACATGTACACACAGTCCCCCTCACACAGACAGCCACACTCCCCTCAATATACACACACTCCTCCTCAGCCAGACAGCCCATTCCCCTCTCACTGTCACCAGCACAGATAACTCATCTCCTGTCACATGCACACCCCATCATCTTCCCACCCTCACTAATACCCACCGATACACACCCATATCCGCCCCTCCAGTCATGTACACTCCCACACTGGTGCAGTGCGGGCAGTGGCAGGGAACAGCTCCCTCATAGCTTCCTGCCAGGAGGCATCACCCTGCTTTATGGCGAAGAGTGGAAACAGGGGCCTTGAGGTGCAGGGCTCCATATTGCCAGTCCCTAGTGCAAAGCAGGGGCACAGAGCAGCAGAGGGAGCTCTGCAATGGCAGGAGAGGAAGGCGGAGCTTGAATGCACATTATCGAGGGGCCACAGCAGGAAAACGGGACCCAGATCAGCACCCCCAAGAACAGCAGCCAGGCCAATGACAGCTGCTGCCCAAAGGTGTCACTGGGCCAAGGGACCAGGGACGCTGAGGTGCGGGTGGCCAATGCAGAGGACACAGATACATTTGCCCCATCTGGAGAGAAGGGCTCTTCCGAGATGTCAGTCCAGGGGGAAGTAGAAGAGAAGGGTGTGAGGATTGTGAGGTGTGAGGGTTGTGCATGTTAAGTTAATCCATCCATGGATTGTGTGGGTTGGGTTAGGTAGGTAGGTGGGATGGACTGTGCGGGTTGGGTTAGGTAGGAAGGTGAGATGGATTGTGCAGGTTGGGTTAGGTAGGTAGGTGGGATGGATTGTGTGGGCTGGTTAGGTAGGAAGGTGGGATGGATTGTGTGGGTTGGGTTAGATAGGTAGGTTGGATGGATTGTGGGGGTTGGTTAGGGAGGAAGGTGGGATGGATTGTGGGGGTTGGTTAGGGAGGAAGGTGGGATGGATTGTGTGGGATGGGTTAGGGAGGAAGGTGGGATGGACTGTGCGGGTTGGGTTAGGTAGATAGGTGGGATGGATTGTGGGGGTTGGGTTAGGTAGGTAGGTGGGATGGATTGTGGGGGGTGGGTTGGGTAGGGAGGGAGGGGGGATGGATTGTGTGGGTTGGGTTGGGGTAGGTGGGATGGATTGTGCGGGTTGGGTTGGGGTAGGTAGGTGGGATGGATTGTGCGGGTTGGGTTAGGTAGGTAGGTGGGATGGATTGTGCGGGTTGGGTTAGGGAGGAAGGTGGGATGGATTGTGGGGGTTGGTTAGGTAGGTAGGTGGGATGGATTGTGGGGGTTGGGTTAGTTGTGATGTCCCATATTAAAAGCAGTCTTCCCTGCAGTCACTTAGTCAAATGTTTTTAACCAGTGGTCCGAGGACCCCTGAGGGTGCACAGACAATGTCTAAGATTTCCACAGTGGTCCGCACCTGTATTCAAAATAGTTTAGGTTCTGCACATAGAATAAGGTTGAAAACCACAGGCCTAGTGTATGTATAATAGGCCAGGTCTGGACACCCTTGGGCTGGTGATAAGCAGAAGGGACAGGGTAGGGGGTTGGACCATGGGTCCCATTCCTTGCTCTGCAACGGAATCGCTGTGTGACTTTGAGCCAGTCGCTTTGCCAGTGCTCGTTTTCCCTGCCTCTGACAGGGGGATATTGTTCATCCACTGCCCACAGTGCAGAGTGTGTGAGATTGGATGTGCTGGTATTTGTGCAGATCGTAGAGGCAGGCAAAGGTCTTATTGCCAAGTGAACCAGGACTTCTTTCCTTTGAGCCCTGCTCCATGCGATCTGTGTCAGGGGCATCCCCAAAGCACATCGTCTGGATGTGTCCCAGGCTTCTGGGTAGCAAATTCTGCCAAACACAAGATCTTTTATAGACAGAAACATTGCTTGCCCTCCAATCTCTGTCTGGCTCTTGGATTATAGATGGTGTGTGTGTGTGTGTGTGTGTGTGTGTGTGTGGTGTTCGGCTTGCTCGGAATGTTGCCCCTTGCTTTTTTAACTGCTGGTTTTATCCCCTACATCTGCCATTGTCCGCAGCCCAGTGTTATTGTAACTATTGAGTGTTAATACGCTAGAGGCCCAGCATTCCCCATGCTGCAGGGACACCGAGTAAGAGACGGTCCCTGCCCAGGCAGCTCGCATTCGGAAGAGACAAGAGGAGGCCGGGGAGAAAGGAAGGGGCAGTGTGCTCACCTTGCACACGGGGAGCTAAGGTCCAGGGAGATTCAGGGCCAGATTTTCTAAAGCGCTGAACTCCACACAAGCTGAACACTTTGAAAATCCGGCCCCAGGTGCGAGTGCTTGCCAAAGTCACACAGAGAGCCTCTTGCTGCCCCGCCCCCACGATTCGCTCAGTGACAGCTGGGTGGGGGATGCTGTCCCAGACCGGGAGAGTTTTACACATATCAATACTTTTCCCCATCCTGAGTTGGGATACAAAAGTAGAAATGTGAAAACTTTTCATGACCCAATCATCTGAGAAACGTTTCAGATGGCGTCAACTGAAATGCTTCAGTTTGATCAGTTTTGTTTCAATTTTGTCCTTTTACATTTTTAACCTTTTTAAAGCATATATTCTGTAAAACTTTTAAACCCAAAGTCATTTCTAGCAGAAACATGAAACTTTTCCTTTTGAAAATGTCAAAATGGGACATTTCAACAATTTCAAACCATTTCGAATCCGGAGATTCGTCCAAACTGCCCCTTCCCGGGAAGTTCTGCTGCAATGGACCAGCATTTTCTGATGAACCAAACTTTCATTGGAAACCTCCTGACGAGTTCTTGCCAGCAGCAGTAATCCTGTGCCCTTCTCCAGCACAGACATAAACTAACCCCATTTCTAACTCCCTGCGGTGCTATGACACTACTACTACCTGCTCTGACACAGAGAAGTCAACATCTTGCCCTAGTCAATGGTGAGGACCCAGGAGCTATGACTCCAAGATCCTTTTACCAACTACTAGACCAGCCTTCTTCTCTCCAGCAGGGGATGGAATTTAGGAGTCTAGGTTTTCCATATGCTAACTACTAGACCACACTCCTCTTCCAGGGCTGGAACTAGGGCTCTGAGTCCATTGCACTAACCATTAGATGACACTTCCTCTAGAAAGCAACAGACTGTTGGTAGAGAACCAGCAAAATACAAGAGCAAACCTCTATCTGAGGCTGGTAAACCTTTGCCTTCTTCTGCTGCCCTCCCTGCATTCTCAGTCAGACACAGGTTTTATTACATGTAGAGAGTGAGCAGCCTGGCTCCCAGATCAGGGTCTTTTCTGCGGTGTCTCAGCCAGAGCCCATTGGGACAGGAATGTTGCAGATTTCTGAGCACAGGCTCAGCAAGAGAAGCGCCACAGCCCCGACTGAGTCAGGTTGAGCAGGTCCCTCTGCAGTACACGTCCCCATCTGAGGCCTGGGCCAGCTGCCACCCCTGAGATCCAGCTGTTTGTGCGTGCCCGTGTTTACGCCTGCTCAATTTGGGCAGGCACCAGTTTTGTGCAGGTACACGGGGTTTTGTGTGTAGCTGCTCACCTAGCTAGAGGTGTGTGTTTTACGAGCCTGCAGGTTTACCGGTGCAGACATTTGGGTGCGGATTTTTGAACACTGAAAACGGGAGGCTGCTCTGTGGCTGTGGGATCACACTTCGCTCTTCCCACCCGCAGAGCCCTTCCAGGGACCAGTGCCTCACCCCCGTTGTGCAGCTGGGGCACAGAGCGGGGAAGTGACTTGCCAGCAGGGGAGCGGCAGAGCTGGGAACCAGGAATTCGAACACTCAGCCCCATGCACTAGCACTGCTCCTCCCTGCCTTTGCAGCCACACACAGATTCCCCACCAGCTTTAAAGTGCATTGAAACTGCAGCTACTCCGCGTTAGTGACTGCTCTCTCTGGGTGTAACCTGTCTACGCCATTCTCCTTGGCTAGGTGACCTGCTCAGCTACTGCGGCTGCTCTCCAACCCGGCGCCCGGCAAAGGAGGCTCCTTACTTTTGCCGGAGGCCGTTGACGTCGTCCAGCAGATTTTCCCTCTCGATCTCCAGCCTGGTCTTGGCATTAGACAGCTGGTCCACCTGCCGGCGGAGGTCTCTCAGCTCGTCCTGATAGATGTCGGCCAGCTTGGTGGGCTCCTTGTCTCTGATCTGGTTGAGCTCCGCCACCAGCACCTTGTTCTGCTGCTCCAGGAAGCGCACCTTCTCGATGTAGCTGGCGAAGCGGTCGTTCAGCTCCATCATCTCCACCTTCTCGTTGGTGCGTGTCTCCTTGAACTCGGTTTTGAGGGCATCGGCCAGGGAGAAATCTGCCTTGTCCTGGAAGAACCTGGGGCTGGCACGGATGCTCAGGCTGGAACTCTTCTTCTTGGTCATGGAGACTCTGGTGCTGGGGCTGGGGGACATGAGCCAGAAGAGGGGCGAGGATCTCAGGGGCTGTTGGACAGCGGTGGCTTGGGGGCCAAACCGCCGCCGATATGAAGACAGTCGCTGACTCTCCATGCTCAGGCTCATCCTCCAGGCTGTGCAGCCCTTGGATGGAATTCGCTCTGTGCTGCCGGGGGTTTATACCGAGGACCAGCCTTCCCAGGGGTGTGTGTGACAGAGGCAGAAGGAGGGGGAGGCCAGGAGGAGGTGGGGATTGTGCCTGGTCCTAGTGTCTGCCATGTATCAAGCCAACCACCCAAGCCCCTGGCAAAGAAACAAAGAGTGACAGAACAAGCAGAAACCCTCAGCTATTGCCTTGTGCGGAGGAGAACAAATGCAAATCGACATGCTCTGCGGTGATGTGCGTGGCACTGCTCCAGGAGCCCCATGCCCCTCTGCTGGGTGGGCACCGGCTTCCCATGAACTCGCTTCATGGCTGCATGTACCCGGGCAGCAGGGGACAGCCTGGTCTGCACGTGCCCCTTTCCCAGCATCCTGGAGACTCGTAAGAGTCAATGTGGCCTTTTCCTCTGAAGCACAGGGCGAGCCAGCCCCTCAGAGCAGGCTGTGCAAGGGATGTGTGTGCAAGAGGGGAGCATGTGGCTGTGTGTGTTTTGTGAGCGGGGTGTGCATAGTTTTGTATGGGGGGGTGAGAAGAGTGAACATATGTCTGCTGTGTGCATGTGAGGGATGTGTGTATGTGTGTTTGTGTGTGTGTATGTGCAAATGTGTGTATGTTGTGTTGGGGTTGTGTATGTATGGGATGTGCATGTGTGTGTTTTGGTAGGGTTACCATACGTCCGGATTTTCCCGGACATGTCCGGCTTTTGGGGATTCAAATCCCCGTCCGGGGGGAAATCCCCAAAAGCC